TTTATGATGTTATCTAGTTGGGTCATAAAACATCTGCAAGAAAACTAAGAAGCTCAGAGAGCACCAAGGACCATGGAATTCAATCCTGAGCTACAAATATTCTCTTTCTGTTGAAATGTTTGTCCACATGGACACCTGGAAGCGAATTGGACTCCATGGGACTTAACTTGCTGACATAATGAGATACAAGTCAAACTATTATGGGAGAGGAAAGATTTGATACCACCAAAAGATACTGGAACAGGGAGACAAGCAGCCTGGCGATGAAATATTTGTGGCTTTTCTGCTGCCTTGGAAAAAAAAAATCCATGGTATTTTTAAAATTATTATTCAGAATTTGGGATTGGTGAATTCCCGTGACATTGCTACTAACAAAGCCACTCTATTATACAATCATTCCTTTTTCAGTTTCCCTGGCAATGAATGAGCTTTTGGAAAGAAAGCAAGTTTTTCTTTTCTTTCTTTCTTTCCTTTTTTTTTCTTTTTTAGGAAAAGAAGAAATGTTCAGCCCTTCCCCCAAGGAAACACGTTTTCCACTTTCCTTTTCAAAGCGCTGCTTCAATTCTGTAGAAATCTCAGTTCACTCATCCCTCTGTTTATGTTGCTGTTGATTTTTTTTTAAATGTCCTAATTCCAGATAGTTGCCAGATATGAAAATAAAACCTGTGTGTCTGACATTTATATTTAATCAGTGAAATATTATTCTATTGTTACGGGTTTTAGTTATTTTGTTTTCATCCTCTATGGTACAACTGAAAACTGAGATGGGAAAATAAATAGAAAGTTGCTTCTTTCTCTTTTCCTTTCCTTTCCTTTCCTTTCCTTTCCTTTCCTTTCCTTTCCTTTTCCTTCCTTCCTTCCTTCCTTCCTCCCTCCCTCCCTCTCTTTCCCTTCCCTTCCCTTCCCACCCATCTTCCTTCCTTCCTTCCTTCCTTCCTTCCTTCCTTCCTTCCTTCCTTCTTTCTCTTTCTTTCTTCTTTCTTTCTTTCTTTCTTTCTTTCTTTCTTTTTATTTCCTTCCTTCCCTCCCTCCCACCCATCCACTCACCCACCCTATCTTCTCTCTTCCTTTCCTTTCCTTTCCTTTCCTTTCCTTTCCTTTCCTTTCCTTTTTCCTTTCCTTTCCTTTCCTTTCCTTTCCTTTCCTTTCCTTTCCTTTCTTTCTCAAATATAGCTGAGGAGTTCTGTCACCAGATGTGGCACGCATGATATTTTCAGTGGTAGTTTTTGTTCAGAAGCTAAGGGTGTTAGTTGCTTTGAACGATTAATAGAGAAATGTTTCAAATGAGGTACCTCGGCAGGGAATCAAAATCTACTTTTCTTGGATGATCCCGCCAACTGCAAGCCAATTTTAGCTCAGGCACAGCAAAAAGTCACTTTTTAACTCTCTGAATATTAATATGTGCACAGTTCAAGAATTCTGAAGGTGGGTGGATGGAGGTCTCTTAAGTTACAAAACCTCCCCAGCCAAACTTCTCCACTGTATATATTAGAAGAATGAAAGGAATTGTAGACTTTCTTCTGAGTTTGCAACCCAGCTCTGACTTTTGAGTAAAAACAACAAAAGTCGTTTGGTACCTCTGGGTTATGACCAGGCCTCTTCAGAATTTGACTTAAATCTTCAGCTTTCAGCATGAGGGAAGATTAGGGTTTGCAGCCAAGAATATCTGCATTCTACAGACTAATTTGTTATGCAAGTTAAGGGACGCTACATCAACTTTAGAAAAAGGTCTAAGAAAGGAAAGTTGGGCTTGGGAGAGCCTGACAGACTTCCACCTTCTCAATTATCACCATCATCCCTGCCACTTGACCAGAGAATCCGCAAAGGAGGACACTGTAAGCACATGTGTGGCACTCTAGCCACATCCTCTCTCTTGCGAACATGTCCTTCCTTCCTTCCTTCCTTCCTTCCTTCCTTCCTTCCTTCCTTCCTTCCTTCCTTCCTTCCTCCCTCCCTCCCTCCCTCCCTCCCTCCCTTCCTTCCTTTCACCCTTCCTTGAAAAAGCACTTTTGGGACCTCTTTTCCTTATTTTTCCATATTGCATTGATGCTAAGCATAGGGTTGTTTAGGTCTTGGGGTGGAATTTACATTTTGGGCAACCAGTTGTGTTCAGTCTGCAGGTGGGAGTGCCATCGCGGCTGAATTACCAACGAGGAATGCCAGAGAGCTTGATGGAGCACGACATTTTGGCCGAAGATCCAGCTGTGGAACTGGGGCCAACAGCTGGCCAGCTGCACAACATACAACAATCGTACCAATTGTGGGCTCAGAAAGATGGCCTCTAAACACCTGCTCGGACACACACACACGCACCCCGCCACCTTCTCTTAACCCCCCTCCCCCCTTGAAGAACCTAGCATCCTTTCCTTAAGGCACATTCAACCAAGATCAACATCTTTACTTTTCAGCCTAGCTAATCTTGCAGCGGGAATCCTAGGGGGCTTCCTCCCCCCTGCCTCCCCCGGCCCCCCTAGCGATGAGGAATGAAAAGGGAGTATTGTGAATCGGAACGCACCACTGTATAGGTTTCTCAGCCGTTACTGAGCACTTCTGAAAGTTTACAGCTGTGCTAGGAACTCCCTGGAGCTCAACCATCCATTTTCTGCCAGCCGAGAGACGCTGAAGGCGGTCACTCAGTCTGCAGCCAGAGAGAGTCCAAAAGCTTTAGATATTACATGGACCGAAGAGAGAAACTATTTCAACCCAAGAGAAACTGGGGAGTATTTAAAACATAAAGCAAAAAAAAAAAAAAATTGCCGAAGCAGTTAGACATAGTCCATGAAATGCCTTGGGCCACACATACCTTTGCTCAACCTTCAAAAACAACCCCCAAATTAGATTCTATTATAATCTACTTTATTTTGTACAAACCAGTTCCATATTTCATTATATTTGCTCATGCAAAGTCTACGTCTGTGGACATAAACCAGGGTCTATTATCCAGGGTTCCCCAAAACTTGGCAACTTTAAGCCTGGCTGGGGAATTCTGGGAGTTGAAGTCCACAAATCTTAAAGTTGCCCAGTCCTCGATTTATAACCATTCATTTAAGAGCCATTCAAATTTGCAATGGTGCTTTAAAAAAAAAAAATGACTTGCAGTCATATGATCAAAATTCAGGTCGTTGTTGCCATAGAGATAAGGCAGAAAACTGTCTTATCTCTATGACAGTTGCTGTATCCCCGGAGTTACGTGATGGACATTTACAAGTTTCTCAAGGGTTTTCCAACCAACAAAATTAATGGGGAGGCTGGATTCGCTTAACGAATGCAACGAAAAGGTCATAAAATCAGACACGACACATTTAATCACCACATTATTAGTGATGAAACTCCGAGTCCGAATTACGGTTGTGAGTTGAGAACTACCTGTATGAAATGAAATTCCTGGAGAAGTAGAGTTATAATCCTGATCATAATTCATTGAATCCCATTTTGATATGCCCTTTTCTTACATGTTAAGCTTTATTTTGAAATCAGACAATAAACCTGGTTTATACGCCTGCTGGTAATAATGTCCAACGGGATGAATAAAAATCAAGGATTTTTTAAAAAATTAATTTAAAAAATTGGGTTTTTTAAAATTTAAATCAGATTTTTTTAATTTAAATTTGATTTTTTTTTATCAAATTAAATGCTTTTGGAGTAAAAATCTATCTAAAGATAGTTTTCCATTTAAGATACATTAATAATTTAGTTTATTCAGCATGAAATGGAGCTTAATTATGTAGCATGAGGCTGTATATTCTGCAATATTGACAATTTTGGTATTTTACTCCCTGGAGGTGAGTGAATGGCAAACCGTAATTTTTGCCACATTTGGCAAAAAAAGGTACACCCAGAGTGTACTTTTAGTGCCATTCTTGGAAAAGTACATTTATTAGCTTTGACGAAATGAGTTGGATAGAGCTGCAGAAATGAAAGAGAAACTGAAACAAACGCAGGATTCAAATATTCACAGGGGGCAAAGCACGAAACATCCATCAAGGAGCTCCTCTGTTGCCAAGATCATCTCTGAAGCTGCTTGTCAACTCTTGGAAAGAGATTTAGAGCAAAATACTCCTTAAGTATAAATAAAACTAGCAAAGTACTTAAGTGGCCACTTAGATAAGCAGTGTAAACAGAACTTGTCTTAAGCATCTAATAGAGTCTTATCAGCCGAGAAGAATAGCCCAAGGAAAACTAATGGTCTTTTATGGATTTCCTGAGACTGACCTTGTGGCCAGGGGACTCCATTCTTCCCCAGCTAAGTTTTTCTCCGCACGTCTGGTGGGAGAGAAGTGGGCTGGCTTGCACTTTTTCAAAGATTTCCCTTCATTTAACAGACATTTTAATTTAAGCTATCATTGTGTGTGTTTTGGAATGCAAAGGATGACTCTACTTGCCAAGGAGCTAAGGGCCCAAATCAGAGGACGCTATGGAGTTCTATCAAAGAGGAGGTTCTTTAGAAGCTTAAAGGCATCTAGTCCAGCCCAATGCTCAGGGTCATGGGAAGGAGAAGGAGGAGGAGGAGGAGGAGGAGGAGAGGAAGACAAGGAGGAAGAGGAGAAGGAGGAAGACGAGGAGGAAGACGAGGAGGAAGAGGAAGAGGAAGAAGAGGAGGAGGAGGAGGAGGAGGAGGAGGAGGTTTAACTAGAATATGCCAGAAATGTTTTTCTACTGGAAAAATAATATCCTGTAATATATGGAGAACTGTGTAAATGCACTTTTGCCTAACACAACAGAGGTCTTGTCTGCAGTGATATATTGAGGGGGGGTGGCGGGGGGGGCAGGGGGAGGAAGAGGTGAATTGAGTGACCTCATGGGTGTTCACTCTGTGTGCACTTGTGTATTTGTGCATAGTCATTTGGGAGGGGGCAGGAGGCTTCATTTTCAAGCCTTTTGGTTTTAATGAGATTTATAAAGACCTGTTTTCTAGTATCAAACATGCAGTAATTTGATAAGGATGCTGCCCAGGAAGAAAAAAAAAGCACATCCAATAATATTTAATTTTTGTTTCTCAGGGATCAGCCGTCCCATCGGACTGCAGGTGATGGAATGCAGGAAGATGACTCTGTGAAGATTCACCTGGTGGAGGAGGGGACAGCAATATGAATGTGGGGCTGAAGAATTTGTCCACCGTTGTTTTTTCCATTTCTCACTCATTCTAAAGGAAAATAAATTTCTCAGACTTTGATTGTTTTGTTTTGAAAGCTAACTAGCGTGGCTTGTAGTTTAAGAAGTAAAAATGAAGGCATCCTACTCCAGGATTGAGAGCAAACATGGACATTTTATGGCCACATCTTCTCCTTCTCCTTCTCCTTCTCCTTCTCCTTCTCCTTCTCCTTCTCTTCTCCTTCTCCTTCTCCTTCTCCTTCTCCTCCTCCTCCTCCTTCCCTTCCCTTCCCTTCCCTTCCCTCCCCTCCCCTCCCTTTCTCTTCTCTTCTCTTCTCTTCTCTCTTTCCTCTTCTCTTCTCTTCTCTTCTCTTCTCTTCTCTTCTCTCTTTCCTCTTCTCTTCTCTTCTCTTCTCTTCTCTTCTCTCCTCTCCTCTCCTCCCCTCCCCTCTTCTCCTCCTCTTTCCTTCCCTCCTGTCTGCTCCCTTCTCCTTCTCTTCTCTTCTCTTCTCTTCTCCTTCTTTCAATTTTCTAGGGACGAAACAGTGCTGTGAAAGAGGGGATGGGCATGCTGGACTTGTTCTCCCACCATGCCTGGTTGAAACTGTAATTAGAAGCTGCCTCACTGAAGGAGCAAGGGGCCACGGAGGACTAATTAGGCCTGATATTTATTTCTCCAGATATGAAAGCCAGATGTGTGCAGTTAAACACAAAACCTTAGGGAGAGCCATCCTGGACTTAGTTTCCCACCCTGGGGGTCAGAAGAAAAGGAAAGTTGCCCACCCAGAATTTACATTTTAGGTGAGCCTGAATAGCCCTTGCTATCTATGCAATCATTCAAGGCTTTTCTCCATGGTCCTTGGTAACCCAAACTGTGAACAATATATGTAGGAAACAGTGTGTTTGTTGGTTGATTTTTACTGTTGAAAAGTTTGACCTCTATTTCAGTCCCCCCCCTTCAAAAACAGATCCCTAATCCTGAATAAAACAATGGGAAGGAACAACCAGAGAGAATCTAGCTGGACTTGTTTAAATCAGGGGGTTTCAAAGGGTTTCAAGCAGTGGTGAGTTTCAAATTTTTTTACTACCGGTTCTGTGGGTGTGGCATGGCTTGGTGGGTGGGGCTTGGTGGGTGTGGCAGGGGAAGGTTACTGCAAAATCCCCATTTCCTCCCAATCAGCTGAAACTTGGGAGGCAGAGAATAGATGGGGGCGTGGCCAGTCAGAATAATTACTACCGGTTCTCCGAACTACTCAAAATTTCCGCTACCGGTTCTCCAGAACTGGTCAGAACCTGCTGAAACCCACCTCTGGTTTCAAGATGAGGAACACATTAAGCAAAGCCTTGGTGACAGAAAATGGGCTGTGGTTGAGTGAAAGACTGAAAAATCTTGCTCTACATTAGGTAATGGGAGATTTTCCTATGACACATCTTTGCCACCTCCCCAATTTTCTCTTTCATCTATATATTAAAAAAGTCAAGATAGAATCCCTCAAGGGCACATTTTCAGGTGACATCTTGACTTTTTTTTTGATACACAACCTCCATGGACACACCTCTTGACTTCTTGACTTCTTGGGTTGACTTTGACTAAAAGTTGGCTGTCAGGATCTCTGGGGATCTGATCGTGCTCGGTCAATGTATCCCAACTTGGTCAACTTTAAGATGAGTGAACTTCAACTCACAGAACTTTGGAAGTTCAAGTCCACATCTCTTTGGTTGACCAGCTTGGAAAATACTGTGCTGGTAATTCAGTTTACTTGATTTTACTTAATGGAAGCCATCATGGTTGATAAACCATAACTGATGAGTTGAGATTATATGAGAAGCAGTTAAGTATAATTCTGGACTTTAAGGCAATTGGGTGAATCCATATTGAGTCAATCCAATTCAGACTAGACTAGACTAGACTAGACTAGACTAGACTAGACTAGACTAGACTAGACTAGACTAGACTAGAATAGAATAGAATAGAATAGAATAGAATAACAGTGTTGGAAGGGACCTTGGAGGTCTTCTAGTCTAATCCCCTGCTTAGGCAGGAAACCCTACATCACTTCAGACAAATGGTTATCCAACATCTTCTTTAAAACTTCCAGTGTTGCAGCATTCACAACTTCTGGAGGCAAGTTGTTCCACTGATTAATTGTCCTCACTGTCAGGAAATTTCTCCTTAGTTCTAAGTTGCTTCTCTCCTTGATTAGTTTCCACCCATTGCTTCTTGTCCTGCCCTCAGGTGCTTTGGAGAATAGCTTGACTCCCTCTTCTTCGTGGCAACCCCTGAGATATCAGAACACTGCTATCATGTTTCCCCTAGTCCTTCTTTTCATCAAACTAGACATACCCAGTTCCTGCAACCGTTCTTCGTATAATTTTATCCTCCAGTCTCCTAATCATCTTAGGTGCTCTTCTCTGCACTCTTTCCAGAGTCTCAACATCTTTTTTACATCGTGGCAACCAAAACTGAATGCAGCATTCCAAGTGTGGCCTTACCAAGGCATTATAAAGTGGTATTAACACTTCACATTTTGGCTTTGAAGTTTTGGGGATATCTTTATGAGTGAAGCCAGTTTGAGCTAATGAGGTGGTTTCCAATGTAGTATGAAAGAAATACAGTTATCTCTCCTTTCCCACCTACCTATCCCCATAATTAGCCATACTTTAAAAAAAAAAGATAGCTTGTCAAATCTAAGTTTTCTTTTCTTTTTCAAACGTACACAGTTTCCTGGAAAACGATGGCATATCCAACAGACTCACACAGTTCCAGCTAGTCAGCTGAAAAAACAAACTGCCTTTTCAATCCTGATTGCAGGTTCAGGATTTGTCATCAAGCAGAATGAAGGGGAAAGGGAGGGAGGGAGGGGGAGAGGGAGGGAGGAAAGGGAACCTTTTAAATTTGAAGTTAATAGCTGGCGCTACTGCAATGCAATCCTGTTACTGCAAGATATGGCAGGTTCTGGAGAATGTCAGCAAAATTAACCTCAGCAACAGAGTCCAGCCAGAGTCCCACCACTTAAGGCACTCTCTGGCTGCTCCTACTAAGCCAGTGTTCCCTAACCTTAGCAACTTTAAGATGAGTGGACTTCAACTCCCAGAATTCCCCAGCCAGCCTTGATCAGAGAAGGCAGTCAGTGTCCTTTGAATTATAACTCTCTGTGTTCCTAGGAAGAACACAACTAGGAGATCCCTCACCTGTGTTCTTCCTAGGAACATGGAGATCGGGGGGCACGATGGCTCAGGGGTTAAAGATGTTGAGCTTGTCAGCTGGAAAGCTGACAGCCCACGTTCGAGACCCAAGTGCTGCACAACGAGGTGAGCTCCTATCCCTTGCCTCAGCTCCTGTCCACCTAGCAGTTCAAAAAGAAGCAAATGCAAGTAGATTAATAGGTACCACTTAGGTGGGAATATAACAGCGTTCTGTGTGCCTTTGGTGTATAGCCATGCTGGCCACATGACCATGGAAAATGTCTTCGGCCAACGCTGGCTCCCTTGGTCAAGAAATGGAGATGAGCACCGCCCCCAGAATCAGACATGACTGGACAGGGAAACCTTTACCTTTTTATTAGAAGATCATCCAGATACTTTTTGGATCCTACTACATTGCTGCAACTTCACCTATTCTTAGATCCGACTTCTCCCCTCATTCTTTTATCCTGCTCCCTGATTAGTCCAGGGTAAGGGAATTTTCCGGAAGACATTGTCATGCAAAAAATCTTGATTGCGTCATCGAGGATTAAAAGTTCACCTAGAAGTCAGTCTAAATCACTTCATCTGGAGCAGGAAACCTACTGAATTCCAGGGAGGTTGGGAGAAAAGGGGAGTCAAACCTCCTGAGCTGAAAGAAAACTTGCCATCACAGAATTCGGGCATGTAAGGCAGACTATCATGTCTTGTAAACAGTGTCAGTAAGAAAGAAGCAGGGGTTTGGGTCATGAAAGATATTAAGTAAGTAGTATTTCACCTGTAGAATCCTACTGAAATCCTCCCTCTTTCTCTCTCTCTCTCCTATCTCTCTGCATATACATATATTTATAAAAATACAGTATATGTACACATGCATACACACAGACTATTTCTCACTCTTTCTTTATCTCTCTCATATTTCTCTCTCTATTTCTGTCTATCTCTATTGTTATCATTTATCAATCTCTATCTATCTATCTGTCTGTCTGTCTGTCTGTCTGTCTGTCTCTCTCTCTCTCTCTCTCTCTCTCTCTCTCTCTCTCTATCTATCTATCTATCTATCTATCAATCATCATCTATGATCTATCCACATATAACCAAAATGCCTATCAGAACAAATGTAGAAAAAAGTTTATGAATTTTATTTTTTATTTTCAAATTACATAACAATAAACATTTTTTTAACAGTACTGTGTCAGGTATCTCTTACAGGTATTTGCATTTATTCCTATACATTTTTATTTCTCTGTTCTAACCAGTTATATCACTTATCCCACACCTCATAAAATTCTGCTTCTTCCTTGCCTTTCATTTCTAACGTGAGTCTATACATCTCAGCACATTCTAGTATCTTGTATATAACCATCTCATTGGCTGGTATATTTTCTAATTTCCAACATTGAGCATAGACAATTCTTGCTGCTGTTACTATGTGTAGAATAATGTATTGGAGTTGCTTCTTGATCTTTCGGTTAATCATTCTTAATAAAAATAATTGAGAAAAGAAAAGAAAAAGGTTTATGGAGATTTTTTTAAAAATACACATTTGCAAAGCTGAGCCTCAACAGACCAAAATGAATTCATTGTGGGAAAATGAGAAACAGCAAGTGACAGGGAAATGGCCACCCCAGGAAATAGGACAGCCGAGTGACCACAATATTTAAGAAATAGCATCTGTGACATCCACTGTAGTCCTTGCAGAGAATTGGTCCAGCCCTGACTCTAAGGTCAGCCTGTTTCACAAAGCTCCCATTGACAGTGAGTGGCATTTCAAAACTACCATTGGCACAAGAACCGTTAACCACAATGACATGTGTCTGAGCTTAGAGGAACCAGCTCGGTCACCAGCAGAAACATCAGAAGACTCACACACACATTCAGTGATTTGCAGGCAAGGAA